AATATTTTTATATATTTATTATGATTTTTATTTTTTAATATTTTTAAATTTTAAGAATTTTAATAAATTTTAATTTTTAATTTTTTTAAAATTTTTAATTTATATATAAATATATATATTTTTTATAATAAATTTTTGTAATTTTTTAAATAATTTTTAATTTTTTTTTTTTTGATTTATTTAAAAAAAAATTATTCAATTATAATACATTTAAAAAATTAATAAAAATTAAATAATATTTAATTTGTAAAATCAAAAATATAATTTTTTAATAATTAAATTTTTTATTATTTTATATTGGTGATTTGCGATTAATTAGACTATTTGCATATAATTCAAAAATTAGTATTAATTTCAAATGATATATTAAGAAATTTCTTACAGAATTATAAGTATCACTAATTGGACAAAAAACGAATTTGTCAGTCACGCTGATGGTAAATTTTAGCTATATATGTTGATCGCAAATATCATATTAATGAAGATATACCGATCTTATGATTTTTAAGTTAAAGTGACATTAAAACAGCAAAAAAAAAAAATACATAGAGGTGTCGGCGCTATTGTTACAGAAATCACAATATATTAAACAATGGGCGGCAATTTATTATATAATAAAAGAGACGAAATTAATCTTATGTTGCTCTTAAAGAAAATCAATTTATTTAACCACACTTCCAACCCCACTAACCCATTTCTACTTAATATCGTATCATGATGTTATAAATCATCATTCAATATTTCACATTATGTCATATGCTTTTATTAATAAAAATCTGGCGTTCTTAGTTCACGTGACAGTGGGAGATCCCTTGTTAGCAACATTTTCAAGAAATCAAAAAATATTCTAAAAGTAACCATCCCTCTAACCTTTGCAGGGTGTAATATAAAATCTTCCAATAATGATGCACAAATAGGATACGTTATTATATCTTCGATAATCTCGATTACTTTTCAAAAAAGTTTTCGTTCACCCGAAAAAGAAATTCAATTCAGAACAAAGGATAAAGACAATTAATTCTACAAGAATGCCAAATATTTAAATATCAAGAAATTTCACGTAACCTAGAAAATTAAAACTATTAGAATCAGAGGGCAACCATAAAATAAAAAAATCACAAATAAGACACTTTATAATTAAAATTGAATTCTATTCCATACCAATTCATTAATAACAATTCCTTGACGCGACTCCATCCATAATCATCGATTGCAGGTAAGATTATATACTTTTACATTATTACTTGCTCGTCTATTTATCAAGGGAAACATATTCAAGTGACAACAAACTCCGTTTAACTTTGGTAAATTCATCCCTAACAACCAACAGGAGTATCAAGTCCTCAATAAACGCACAACGAATATTTCATTTCGACACTTTTTATTAAACCTATAATTAATGATCGGTTAAAAATAAACACAATAAATATAACAACTACAGTTTCATTCCAATTTTTACCTTCTTTCGCAAGAGCATAAACCACCATAATGCTGGTACATACAGTATATTGATTTCCAGTTACAATTTCCATTTCAGATGCTAATTCATCTAAATCAAAATCGCTTGAAAAAACATATAGACAATAAAAATATACTTCATATCCATTGTTTTATGCCACCAGTACTTTTAGGCATAGATCAGTTACACAGTACCACTTTCTGTAAATTCTCACAGCATACTTCTTCATCTAGAAACCACTAAATTCACATAACTTTGAATCCAATAATCTAGGCAAAAAAAAAGTAAAAAAAATTAACTGGAGGCAACTATTTGGTGCCGGAAGACGCGAGATTCATTCGGAAATTGCTCTCTTGTTAATTTTATATCTGCAGGGGGGTAGCACAATGTCGAACAACCAATTTCCTTTATAATTTGCCAATCATATCTAAGAAAAGAGTCTCGAAATAGAGTTCTCATTATTATTATACTTCAAAACACATACCGTATAAACTCGAGCTTTATTGTTACACACTTTCGATTAAGTTTTGGTAACTCGTAAAAATACTCGACTACCCTTTTTTTATCTTCGCAAATTATATTTAAAAAAGGATATAAATAAACATAAGCGTAATCATAAATAAAATATACATGAAACGAATTGAAATATTCAACATATAAAGGTGTTAACGAATTTGTTAAACGCTAAGAACAAGATGATAAACATACATGATAAATGATAAAATAAAAAGAAAAGAAACGGTAATATAAAATAATAATATAATAATAACAATTACGAATCATACTTAGTCAGTCACTGAGACCATTTTTAAAGAAAATAATTGATCGATAAAGCGATTTTATTCCGAGTTTCTAGACGAATAATTAAGTTAAATTGACAAATTGATTCTAAAATGTAATATAATGAAGTACTAAAAGCAAAACTTACTATAACGAACACATTTCTATCAACTTTAGACTTTAATTGACACGTTTAATACAGAATCATAACTTATGTAAAAGTAAACATTTCAAAAAAATGAACCGATCGAATACGGTTCAAGATATCATAATTTGTGAGTAAATAAAGTTAACATATTTTTTTTTTGGATAAAAGGAGGATAGTTTTTTTTTTTATTATTTCTTTACATTTTGGGACCCTCAAGAAAAAAATAATTCAAAAAGCCTTATATTTATACGTATAAAAAACTTTTTATTTTATCACGCCATTTTTTTGTTCAACACGCCATTTTGCCAATTTTTAATTAGCCCAAAAGTCGTGTAAACTAAAAAAAAGCCTGTATTAAATTAGGGCGTTCCTTAAAATTGACAAGGGTTGGGTTTATTATTCACGTGGCGTAATGTCAACTTTAAAAAAATTATTATATAAGAATTGTCCTAAATAAAATGATATTCGATAAATATCACATGATATTTTGGTTGATATCATTAATTTTGATTTTAGAAATAATTCATTTAATATAACAAATATTCTCGTATGAAACATTCCATAAAGATCTATTGTATGAAATATGAAAATATTGATTTGAAAGATCGCTTTTATTTAGTAAACCTGGAATTTACATCTTCAAATCGTCTAGTAAACATAGAGTTCTAAATTTCTTAACTTTTAATAAAGTTTCTGTTGCTAACAAAAGTTTATTCGTGAAGTTTTAAGATGGACAATATTGCTCAAGCCATCACAAAATATGAATATGCTTTAATAAAAATAAATAAATATAATATTTCCTGCGTGTTTGCTTTTTACCTATCTTGTGCATTTTCAATTGTTCTTTTCAGATCGTTAGGGGGAATTGGAGGTATGATTGGCAAATTTCCCATCATCTCACCTGAAATAACATTGACTTTAAAATTATAAGGGATGGATATTTGAAAGTTACTAGCGTCAATTTATTAGTATTTAACAATACTGATACTATTCTATTATTAACTTATTTTTAAGAAATTTTGGTAGAATTTATGGAATAACCAGTTAAAATCTCATTCGTGTTCATAAGCAATGAAATTGTAGATAGCTGCGAAAGGTATCACTTTATATGTTAAATTCAAAGAAATTTTATCATCTTATTGAAACATTGGTTCATTTTATTGGAGTTAGAAGTAAAGTAATGTGCAATAATCCCTCGTAGGTTTGGATGAAAGTATTAATTAAGATAATATTCTTGGTTTCATTGGAAATCGAATAAAAGGTGAAAGAATATTTAAGGGATGTTGTAAAGAGACATACATCGTCTTATATTTTATTATTACAAAAGAATTATTGTAATTAACTTTTGAATTCATGATGGTTATACTGCATGGAATCAGGATGTGATAAGCTTACTGGGTCATCTTATAGTCGTTGTCGTCTTCATATTAGGGGTTATTATATGATTCAATATGTTAATAAACTTCAGGATAGGGCCCTGATGTTTGATATGTGTTCAAGAGGTTAGACTTTTAGTAAAAGATAGATTTATTATATAGTTAGTTGAGAGG